TAATGATCTTGGTTACTTCTTTTTTCGTTTTAATGATGATGGTGGGTGCAATCAAGTGGTTGAGTCGTCTCCCCTCATGATTAGAGGGAGGCCGCTTTTTGTCTCCACATGGGACCCCTCAAAGGGTCTTCAGAAACCTGAACACACTTCTTGCCCGTTATGGATTAAGTTCTATAATATCCCTCTAGTTGCTTTGAATAGAGAGGGTATTAGTCGTATTGCAAGTGCTATTGGTGTTCCTTTGCGTTTGGATGCTTGCACGACTAGTACTTGTGATAAAGCTTGGGGACGTATGAATTTTGCTAAAGTGTTGGTGGATGTTTGTGCTGTGGGTGAAATACAGAGACAAATTGAGGTTGTTATTTCGAGACTTTCGGGCATTGGTGAGGATGTGATTAATGTGGTTCTAGAATATGATTGGGTTCCTTCCCATTGTTCAAAATGCAAAGTTTTTGGTCATCGAACGTTGTCCTGTTTGAAAGGGGAAATTACAAAGCCAAAGGTTACTGCTCTTCCTTCGCATAATGACGGCTTTCAAGAACCTAGACGTAGACACTGGAAGCCAAAGTCAAAATCTGGATCTGGTATTGATGCTCAAGCTTCTTCTTTAGGTACGGCTTCTACTTCTAAAGACACCCTAACTGGAGTAGGTTCTGGTCAACAGGCTAATGAGGTTTTGCTTGTCCCGGGCGGTTCTGATAAGGACATTAGTGTTACACGGCATGATGGTTCTAAAATTTCGGATGGAAAGGGTGTGGAAAGGGAGGATAGTCAGTTTTGTACGGTGGATGCTGGGAGGACCCCAAAAGGGAAAGATGTTTTTTCGAATGTCCAAATTCTATCAAAGGGGGATCCAGAGATTGTCAAAACGGTGGTCCATGCTTTTAAACCAAGAAGAGGCGCTGTCAGTAACACGACTACTAGCAATCGATTCTCTTCTTTACCGTCTGATGACTCTAGTGATGATGATGATATGGAGATCGTTGATACTGAGGGGTATACTATGGAACAACGAGGAGAGGAGACTCACACTTCAACATCTCAATGATAAAGTTCGCAGCATGGAATATTAGGGGTCTTAATGCCCTAATAAAGCAAAAAGAGGTACGTGATTTAATCCATATAAAGCATCTTTCTTTATGTTGCATTATTGAATCAAAAGTTCTTCATAGTCACCTAGGGGAAGTTTGTGGTAGAGTTTTTGGTAATTGGAGTTGGATCACAAATGGGTTAATGCATGACCAAGGAACGCGGCTTATTATCGCTTGGGATCCTTCTGTGTTATCCCTGATGATGATTAAGCAGCATTCTCAATATGTGCATTGTGAAATTAGGATTGTTGGTCACCTTGAACCAATTTTTATTTCCTTTGTTCATGGGTGTAATACGGGAGTGGAAAGACGTGACCTTTGGAGAGATATTGGTAAATTTAGTGCTTTTGTCCAAAGGAAAGCTTAGGTTGTAATGGGAGATTTCAACTCTATGATTTTTCCTCATGATGGTTTGGGCGGCTCCTCTAGACGCAATTATGATATGGAGGAGTTTCATCTTTGTCTGGAAGAGGCTGAATTGTTTGATATCTCATATCAGGGATGCCAATTTACCTGGATACAGAAACCTTCTGGGGGTAATGGAATTATGCGTAAACTTGATTGTATCTTGGGGAATTCTGCTTTTATTACTCGTTTTGGGGACGCCTCGGTTTTCTTTGAACCAAGGGGGATCTCAGATCATTCTCCGGGTATTCTTTCCTTTAAAGTTGGTAGACGTATTTGTCAGCGTGGTTTTAAATTTGATAATTTTTATTACTTCTCATGTGGATTTCCTTAAGTCTGTGGAAGGGGTGTGGATGAAACCTCAGAGAGGTTATTATATGAAAAGAGTGATTCGGAAATTGCAAGAAATGAAAGGGGTTTGTCGTCGGCTCAGAAATTCTTATGGGTGTTTGGATAAAAGGGTGGCTCAGTTAAAGACGGAGCTTGATGTTACTCAATTGGCTTGTGATCTAGACCCGTTTAATGATTTGCTGAAAGAGGATATTGCTCACCTCTTACTAGCATATCAAAAGGCTAGAAATGATCAAGAGGATATGGTTCGACAAAAAGCTAAGATCTCTTGGCTTAATGAAGGTGATGGAAACTCAAAGTTCTTCTTCCATGCTATGAAAGAGAAGCGTAATAGAAGCCATATTGCTACTATTAGGGATTCTTTTGGTACAGTTTTTGAGCATCTGGATGTTCCAAAAGCTTTTATTAATCACTTTGAAGGAATTCTGGGTACTTCTAATATGTTGGTTCCTCCCTCCATGGTGGATTGCTCGTTTGATCACTCTCTTTCGTTATCGGAATCTTTGCACTTAATCAGGCCGATTTCGGATTTGGAAATAAAGGATGCTTTGTTTGATATTGGGAATGATAAGGCGCCAGGACCTGATGGGTTTTCGTCAAAATTCTTTAAAGCGGCTTGGAGCGTGGTGGGTAAGGACGTTCTCATTGGGATCCATAACTTTTTCTATTCTGGAACTTCGGAATATCAGCTGAACCATACCCTTCTTTGTCTCGTCCCGAAGGTTCCTAATGCTTCATGTGTTACTGATTTTCGCCCAATTGCCTGTTGTAATGTGTTGCTGAAATGTATCAGTAAAATTATTGTTGAACGGATAAAAAGGCTCTTTGGATGTCCTTATTAGCAGGGCCCAATCTGCGTTCATCCCAGGGCGTCAGATCACGGATAATATCTTAATGGCGCATGAACTTGTTGCTGGTTATCAAAAATCTGAAGGGGAACCAAAATGTGCGTTTATGATTGACATTCGGAAAGCCTATGGTACAGTTGACTGGCAATTTCTGTTAGAGATGCTAAAGGGAATGGGTTTTCATCCAGTTATGATTAACTGGATAAAGACTCTATTCACTTCGCCTTCTTTCTCAATCTGTTTTAATGGACAACCGGAGGGTTTCTTTCTTGGTAAGCGGGGCCTTTGACAAGGGGATCCTTTATCTCCTTACTTATTTACTGTGGTTATGGAAGGTCTTTCGATGCTTCTTTCAAAATGTATTGAGGAGGAGGCAAATTTTGCGTACCATCAAGGATGTGCTGAGATCAAGTTAACCCATTTATGCTTTGCGGATGATTTGTTTATTTTTTCTCGGGGGGATACTACCTCGGTGGAAGGTATCAAGCGTGCTCTCCAATTATTTGAAGAACGATCAGGTTTGTCTCCGAGTCTGGAAAAAAGTGAAGTGTTTTTCGGGAATGTGGGGTTGGAGGTTCAAAATCTTATTCGTAATAGCTTACCTTTTCGGCCGGGGGTGTTCCCTATTCGTTACCTGGGAGTTCCTCTATCCCCAGTTCGATTGAAGGTATGTGATTTTAATCCCCTTGTACTAAAGCTTAAATCTCGACTTTCGAATTGGAAGAACAAATTCCTTTCTTATGGAGGAAGACGACAGCTTATCATTTCTGTTCTTCATTCTATGCAAACCTATTGGATTTCGGTATTCCTAGTACCGGCAACCACAATCCATGAAATTGAGCAGCTGTTTCGTAATTTTTTATGGAATAAAGCAGAGGGTCAGTTGGGAAAATGTCGAGTTGCTTGGGATAGGGTTTGTTTGACTATTAAAAATGGGGGTCTTGGTATGAAAAGACTAGTGATCTGGAATCGGTGCTTACTTTTCAAACATATTTGGGATATTCTGACTCGCAGAAATACCATGGGGGTCTCTTGGATTCAGTCTCAATGTATTCGGGGCCGAAACTTTTAGGTTATCAAGAAGAGGAATGAATGGTCGTGGATTCTCCGGAGCCTATTAGACTTACGTTCTCACTGCAGGAGATTTTTAATCTACAATGTGGGAAATGGTTTATCTACGCATGCCTGGGAAGATACGTGAAGTGAATTTGGGCCCCTTATTCAGTTACTGTCTTATAGATTCTTAAATGGTCATGGCTTTTGTAATAACTCAACGGTTTTTGATGTAATGCAACATTTTGGCACTACTTGGCCGGTGGATTGGATTCAACAATACCCTCAGCTGCAAAGTATAATAATACCTTCTCCCAGCCAAATGGAGGATACAGTTAGATGGCTTGATGCTAAACTTTCTCGGGGAAATTTTGAGGTCAAAGTGGCCTGGCAAACTGTTCTAGAAGTGAGGCCAATTGTGCCTTGGTACAAGCTGGTATGGAATAAAGCATACATACCTAAACATGCTCTTTGCATGTGGATGGCGTGTCGGAATAAATTACCAACTCAAGATCGCATCAGTAAGTGGAAGGATTTGAAATGTGTGTTCTATAAATCAGTGATTGAAACGCACAATCACTTATTTTTCGAATGCAATTACTCAAGTAGTATTTGGGAAGTCATTAAAAAGGAAGTAGGGTTAACGAACTGTTTGAACAATTGGGAGGATATTCTTAACAGGGGTTTAGCTCAACGATGGAAATCTTGGTCTACTGTTCAAAAACTTGGTATATCGGCCATGGTTTACCACATATGGAGGGAAAGAAACAAGAAGTTCTTTGATAACTTCAATCATACAGGGGACAAAGTTGTTGCGGAGATCAAGATGCAGATTCTTCAATGTATGTCTTGGAAGACTAGGAAGAAGCTGAAGATTACTAATGCTATGTGATTTTGTGGGTGGTGTGGTTTCTCGGTTTGGGCTTTTGTGGGTTTGTTTTGCCGTTTATTCTTCGGCTTGCTTTTTTTTTTATGCTTTGGTGTACTTCTCTTTGTCATTTTTGGCTTCTTATGGCTTGGTTTGTAAGTCAAAGTTGCCGTAGTTTTTCTTGCTGATTTGCTTGTAACGGTCCTGCTTTTTTTGTCTTTATAAAATTGCCTGGGGTATTTCCCCTTTCAGTAATACCTCCTCCCCCGGACGGCTTCTGAATCCAAGTGTATTGGCACCCTTGATAAGAGATATCAAAAAGCTCTACATCTTCTAGACAAAGGTGAAACTCTTCCATGTCCGAATTACGCCTAGACGACCCTCCCAACCCATCATGAGGGAAAAGCATAGAGTTAAAGTCTCCTATCGCTATCCACGCTTTATTATGGATAAAGACTTTGAATTTCCCAAGGGCCCTCCAAAGATCCCTCCTTTCCACCCCCGTATTACACCCGTAAACAAACGTAATAAAGATGGGTTCCAGCTTACCAATGATACGGATTTCACAATTCACGTATTGCAAATGCTGCTCAATCACTATCAAGGAGAAAACAGTCGGGTCCCAAGCAATAATAAGGTGTGTTCCTTGATCACAAGATAAACCATTTGAGACCCAACTCCATCTTCCAAAAACTCTACCACAAACATCTCCCAGGTTACTTTGTAAGACTTTAGACTCAATAATGCAACATAACGAAAGACTCTTTACATGTATAAAATCACGTACCTCTCTTTGCTTTATTAGGGCATTAAGATCCCTAATATTCCAGGAAGCGAACTTTATCATTGGGAACTAGAAGTGGTTGCAACACCCTCCCCCATACACCCTTCAGCCTCCTCAATGTTATCACCAATGAAAATACCCCCTGCATCACTCCTAGCCATATCAATTATCTCCATATCATCATCTTCACTAGAGTCTTTAGTATATAAAGATGAGAATCGGTTATTTGTAGGCGTTAGGATCGCAACACCACGTCTCGGCTGGAATGCTTGTACCACAGCCTTTACTAGTTCCAGACCACCCGTAAGTGGGATCGCCGTTGCATTCAAATTACCCTCTCTACCTCTTGCGTTCTCCCAGCATCCACAGTGCAATACTTACCCTCCACAGGCCCCTCACTATCACCGGCTGGTACTTCAGAAGCAACAGACTTAGCCTTAGGGCTAACAACGACATTCTCCTTTGGGTCCACAACCGGAGACGGTGACACCTCTTGTACCTGCTTTATAGTACCAACACCAAATAACGTATCAGAAGCTATAGAATCTTCACCTTTACTAGCCTTAGATGTTTCCGCCTGAGTTCCATTGGCTGTTCCAGAATTAGCCTTCGGCCTCCATTGTTGCCTTCTAGGTTGTTGAAAGCCCTCCTTATCAAACGCCTTTGGATGCTCCTTTGGTAACCGAACAACCCCTTTCATGCATGAAGAATCCCTATGTCCAAATGTTTTACACATGGAACATTGGGACGGCACCCAATCATACTCCAATACCAGCTTTACCACATCTTCTCCATTACCCGAAAGCCTCGGGATTACCACTTCGACTTCCCGCTGCATCTCTCCCACGACCCAAACATTCACCAAAACCTTAGCAAAGTTCGTTCTCCCCCAAGCTTTATCACACGTGCTTGCGGTACATGCATCCAGTCGTAAAGGAACCCCAACCGCACTGGCATTACGGCTAATACCCTCTCTATTGAAAGCAACTAGAGGGATATTAAAAAATTTAATCCACAAAGGGCACAATGAATGTTCAGGTTTATGAAGCCCTTTTGACGGGTCCCATGTAGAAACAAACAGTGGCACCCCTCTTATCATTAGATGCGACGATTCAACTACTTGAGTACAACCACCTCCATCATTAAAACGAAAGAAGAAATAACCAAGGTCATTCACCATAGCATCTTTAAAGCCAAATTTTCCCCAAGCATTTTGAACCGCACGTAAAACAATAGGAAACGGAAGTCTAGGTCCCAAAAAATACCCATAATGAACCGTTTGGAAAGATTTTGCCATACCTCTAGTGGCTTCCAACGGGAATTGATCCGTGGTTTCACACTCTTTTCCACCGAGAAATAGGTCAACTCCTGCGTTGGAACACCTCCAACAATTGATGCAAACGACTTTTGATCCTGAGAAGATGGCACACCCGTGACTGTAGGTGATAATCGCTCCCAAACCGAGACCATTTTTTTGGTTTCTTCATTGCTCACGTCAGCCCTCAAATCCCCCTCCTTATCGCCCACATACATGGATCCGCCTACGTCACTTTCTCCCTTGCGTTCATCAGCCCTAGCTTTGATAACATCATCAGTCGATACGGTGACATCAGCCCTACCATGCAAAGCACGAGGGGACGACTCTTCTAAGATCACATCCGCAAAGTCTTGGGAAATCGGTTCTTCCAAGATCGCATCTGCAAAGTCAACCATCTTCTCCAAAATTCTAAGTTAATTCCTTGATGGGTCACACGCCGGCAGAAGCTACCACCATGATCAACGCAGGAAACCCTAGCCGCAGCTTAAGAAACCCTAGCAGCCGATAACAATGGATCGCAAAACCACCACTCTCATCACCTCACACCAGTAGATAAAACACAAGGAATCGTGATCAATTCTAACAAACCACAGATCCGCAACAACCAGATCGATAAACAACCAAAAAGCAACGAAACCTAGTGCAAACCTTAGAAGACGCTTGAACAAAAACGAACGTACCAACAGAATGAAACTTAACGATCAAACAGTAATGAAACCCTTAAAACCCAGCTGTCTACCAAGAACACTTCAAAAAAACCGAGAGCATCAAAAGCCAATACCTTTACGACGATCAAGGAAAAACGAAGAAGAGAGTATCAAAACCGTAGCATGATCCAAACATTCATCATCTCCTTGAGGAGTCTAGCTGGGTGAAAATGATACGAAATGAGTGTAACGCCCCAAACCTTGTTAGTGGATATAATTGGCCTATTTCTCCTTAAAAATTTCAATTGGGTCAACACGACTTTAACAGCAGGTCATTACATAAAATAATGACCCAAACAGCGTACAAACCGAACTAACAAACCAGGAGGCCAACGTGAATAACCCAACCAACAGCAGGTCGATAGCAACTATAATTTGAAAAGCCAACAACGCAAATAACTGACGGCAAACAGTAAAGAATAAGCCACGTAAAAACCCACAGGCAGAAAACAACACCACGATCTACACAAGCAAACCCTAGCCTCAGAAACCCTAAGCAGCCGTTACCAAAATATCACAAATCGGCTCACAATCAAATGAACACACCATATCCTAATCAACCAGATCGAAAAGCAAACCAACAATGCAGCGAAACAAACCCTAGAAAATACTTGAATCAAACGGAAACGAACCAATAAAGAAACTTGACACGCGAACTATAAACCCTAATCCTAATACCAGCCGTCGTTCAAGAACACCAATAGAACCGAAAGTAAGAGCAATACCTTAACACCAATCAATGAAAACGACGAAGAGAGGACCAAACCGAAACAAGATCCAACCATTGAACTCAAGAACGCCACCTTAGGTTCGCATCCCTAGAGTGGAAAAGTCAATAGCGGTCCTTCGTAACGAGTTAATTAGGTCAAAATGACACTAAATGGGTCATAGTTGGTGTAACTACATGTTAATATGACTAATTAAGGTAGAATGGGTCTTAAGTGTCCTTAATGGGTCCATCTACACTTATTGGGATATTGGTTCCTATTCGGTATAATCGAGTCATTTGGGTCAAAATGACAATAAATGTATCATAATTAGTCTGATTACACCCTATTAGGTTAATAGGGCTAATTTATCCATAAGGATTCTACTGAAAGGGGAGAACTCCCCAGGCAATTTTATAAAACAAGTAAAAGTAAAAGTAAAACAAAGAAGGTTACAAATCAGCAAGAACGAAAGGTATAACAAGTCAAAAAATAGATGGAGCAAATCACCAAGAACTCCCAGTAACGAAACTCTTCACCAACCTTCTGATCACGGATCATTGATTCTCGTAAGCTTTTTTCTTGTCTTCCAAGCCATTCTATGAAGAATCTGAGTCTTGATACCAGCCACTACTTGAGCTCCAGTTCGGTAATGATTGTCAAAGAACTTTTTATTCCTTTCCATCCATATGTGGTACACCGTAGCCGAGATACCAAGCTTTTGAACCGTAGACCACAATTTCCACCCTTGCTATAACCCCTTGTTAAGGATATCCTCCCAATTGTCCGGACACAGTTGGATCCCTATTTCCCTCTTTATTACCTCCCAAATACTACTTGAGTAGTCGCACTCAAAGAATAAGTGATTGTGCGTTTCTATCACTAAGTTGCAAAAAACACCTTTCATATCAGGGGGTTCATGTTTCCACTAGCAAATGCGGATCATCCATAAGGATTCTAATTGGCTCAAAATGACACTAATTGGGTCATATTTAGTTTGATCAGACTTAATGGGTATGATGTGCTTAGTTCGTCATAATTAGTCTAATCAAACATTAATTGGAGTGATTGAGGGTCCATTTGGTGTTTTTTTTTAACGGAAACCAGGCAAATTTTATAAACCATAAAGAAAAAGTACAGCAAAGCGACCAATTAATAGACAACTACTAACACAACAAAAACAAATGACTTGGAAAAAACCCCATACCAAGCCACTAAAAGCCAAAACAAACAAAGCCCAACCGACTCAAACAAACAACTAAAAATAAAGAAAAAGAGCTTAAAAAGCACAAAAGCTCCCCAAACACAGCACGAACCCATAAAATCAACCAGTATTGCCCAATAAACGTTTCTCCAACCAAGCCACACGAATTTCAAGAGTCTGAACAATGGCATGGATAATCTGCTTGGCATTCCGACGATCCCCAGTAAAAAGTATTGGATTCCGTTCCTGCCAAATGAAATAGACTGAAGCCGCTACCGCAAGTTTCTGCTTTAACCGCTTTGGA